AATACGTGCATAAAAAAAAGTGTAATGACCAATCAAATACAAGAACCTGTTTGTAGATCCTTCTAGAACGTGATTTCCAAATTTGGTATATTCCCGGACTGTAATTAAGTACCTAACACTTTTCTCAATTAAAACTTATTTGTATAATCTATTGATTATTCTTCCAAGCAAGTACTCCACAAGTTGGATGCAAAGATGTTAATACTGCCTAAAGTGAAGACAAAAAGATGTTTAAATCATTCCAATTAAAAAACTTACTTGCATAATCTTTCATAACCTAGACTTTTTGTAATGCTACTATAGAGTCATCCATAATTTATATAAGAAATGTATATAGTAAAGATCTGCAAAAATATAAAAAAAATAACAAAATCAATAATATTTTATGACTCAGTAATCCAATTTTAATGATTTTAATATCATTTGAACCATCTTATTAAGACGAATTGAATGGTATTAAAATTGTTAAATTTTAATTACTAGATCATGAAATAATTACAATTAACTAAAATTGTAAAATATCTAATTATCTCAGTACCTAATGGTCAAAATTTACTGATTTTGATATCATTTGATTTGTCTTGATAAGATGATTCTTATGGTATTAAAAATGTTAAATTTAGATTACTAAATCATGAGATAATTACAAAAAACTATCTACAGTACAAATTTTGTATTTTAGTACATTGTAAATAGTTTTTATAAATATTTCGTAATTTAGTAATCAGATTTTAATGTTTTTGCTACCATTCAAATCATCTCATCAAAATGAATCAAATGATATCAAAATCGTTAAATTTGGATTATTGGTTACTGAGATAATTAGATATTTTAAAATTTTAATTAAATATAATTATTTTGATAACCAATAATTCAAATCTAACAATTTAAGTATCATTTGATTCGCTTTAAAGAAACAATTTAAATGGTAGCAAAAACATTAAAATCAGATTATTGAATTACAAGATATTTGTAATAAACTATTTACAATGTACTAAAATACAAAAATTTAAAAAAACTATGCTATAGATAGTTTTTTGTAATTATCTCACGATCTAGTGATCCAAATTTAACATTTTTGATACCATTAAAAATGTTTCAGTAAGACAAATCGAATAATATCAAAATAGTTAAATTTGGATTATTGGTTACTGAGATAATTAGATATTTTACAATTTTAGTTAATTGTAATTATCTTGTAATATAGTGATTAAAATTTAACAATTTTGATACCATTCGATTTATCTCAATGAGATAGTTCAAATAATATTAAAATCGTTAAAATTGAATTACTGGATCACAAGATATCATCAATTTTGTTATTTTTTGTATTTTTACAGATCCTTACTATATATGTTTCTTTACGTAAATTATGGATGGCCTCTATTATATATAGTGCCTGCATTTTATAATCAAAGCTTCTTTCAGGAATTCTTATTTCAAAACTATACTTGCATTTAAACTTTTTACAGAGCTTCACATCCAATTATAGCTCTATATAGATTATAGTAACATTCAAAAATTTGCTATCAGTCTGACTCAAACTATTGACCTTATCTGTGAAGATTTAAGAGCTTAACTAATAAATTACAGAACTCAAACCCTTTTATTTAAATATTTTAAATTGTTAAAAAATAGATTAATAACATATTTATAATATCAATACAAGTAAATTTGCCTGTGTTAGTCTACAATCTAAAAATAAACTATACCTTTAACTAACTCTAACCTCTAACTCTAACTCTAATATTAATTAAAATTATTATTGTTTACTTGTATTTTTAATAAAAATTAATTGTAGATCATATCCGTGTTTCAAATACCCCGTGTATACTTAGTAATTTTTATTTTTATATATGAAATTTAAACAAAAAACCGGCCAATCGGATCTGTTTAAAAATTTCATGTTATGAAACCAAGACATTAAATTTGTGTTACCTAAGGCTATACAAAAATATTTTTTTGGTTTTCATAACATAGAGCTGTTTAAACTGACCCGGCCGGCCGGCCGGCCGGCTTTTTTTTTAAAGTTTTATATATAAAAATTTTATAAATTATTTTAAAATTTTTTTTAAAAAACCTACCCGGTTATTAAAACATAAAAAAAATTTTTTACAAGTTTTCAAATTTTGACCCGGCCGGGTTATGAAAACCAAGAATTTTTTTTTATATGGCCTAATACTAAAATACAATATAAAATTTTTTTTAAAAAAAATAATTTTTTAAGATATATATGTTGGCTTATAAGCAAATTTTTTTTTTTTTTTTTTTACAAATGCTGCTATTATATTATAACTTATAGATTCTTTAATTAAACTATTTTTTAAAAAAATTTTGAAATTCGAACCCTGTTTAATATAAAGTGTTGCCTGGGCAAGTTTGCCTGAAACCCAAAAAAGAAAATTTTTCTATTAGATCGCAAGACCAGGTGCAATCTTTGTGTAACGCGAAATCGAAAAACATCCGATAACTTAAAATTTTGTCTAAAAAAAAAATTCCTGGCCAAATTTTACTACTACACCTTCTTATCCCAACCCAAACCCTAACCCTAACGCTGGTCAAATTTCACAACTGGGTAAATTTGCCCAGACGGCAAAGATTTTCTCTTTAATATATATGATTTTAGTTTTTGAGTTAGAATTTAGGATCAGATTTGATAATAAAAGAATATAGGTGGATTTTGGTGAGATTTATATTTTCAAATTGAGATCCTAAATTTTAGTATCGCCCAATTTTAGCATCCCAACATATTAACTTTAATTAACAAAATAAAATAATAACATCCAGTACATATAATAATTAACTACGTACGTACGTACGACGTACAATTTCTATAATTACTGCAATATCATTTAAAGAAAAATATATATATATATATATGTATAGTGTAACATTTAGTCCCCAAAAGTCAAGTAATAAATGATAAGTATATACATATTATTTAAAGTCCAATGCTTTAAAAAAAAATTGTACGTACTGATTTTACGACGCAAGTTTAATATATTGCAGATGCGAAGCAAACTAAATCCGGTAAAAGTACTGAGTGATCACTTTGATAAAGAATCTTCGAGGAGTAGTGTCATATGAATATTTTAGGCTTCAGCGAGAACTTAAATTGTCACAAAAATAGAGAAATTATAATTAGCGTTAGAGACATATTGCTCAGCACGTGACATGAGTTATACATATTATGTATATGTTTTAAAAATACAAACATTCAACGTAATGGGGAAAGAGACATCCTTGCATATGAGCAGAGATGAAGGTCGCAAACATGAAAATAAGGTTTATCCTCAAAGTAAACAGATACATGACAAGTCCGTGAAAACTCGCGCCCAGTGAAGAGATTTCCAAGGTAATCAAATGCAAGGCAAAACTGTCATCATTGATCATTATATCCTTGACATCAGACACCTCCTATAATTAATCGCCAATACAATGTGCTGGCCTCTGTCAATTAAATGGAAGATATATATATAATATATCCTTTTTCGAACAGACAACCATTATTATGCAGGTACAGCCGTTAATTTCCTTTATGAAGGGCCGAGGAGACAACGCGTCACAAGAGTAATAAGAGTTCATTCTTGTGAATTGGAATTAAGTAATACTTTTCGCCTTATCCGTAAGTAAATTATCCAAGTGGAAGTTTAAATATATTATATATGGCCATATTTGATGCTCTTATATGCTCCATAGGTTGTATAAAGCGAGAACGACGAATTGGTTGGTGTATCGAGATGCGGAAAACCAAATTGAATTGGTCAATTGATCGCCGAAAACAATGGACTATCAAAATTTAGACTCCGCTCTTGGTAGTAAGGATTTATTTATTGCTTGATTTGTCCTGACACTTGCACAAACACATGTGGACTTTCTGCCGCTTCTATTTAGCGTCCACTGATCGTGCTGAATTTTCGGATTTGGTCCCTATTCTATTATGTATAGCAAATCATGTTATTAGTGTGATTTGTTTTTTCATCAATTGGAACATTGATGTCTGTGGGTTTTCATGTAATTTTTGCATTTACCTCCTAGAATACTTTATAAAACTCCTTTGCCGCCTTTTCTGATCCTCAGCTTCTCATCCCCTTTTCTCTTTCCTTTCTTCCTCGTGCCCTCCTTGATATATTAATATTCTTTAATCTTTTCTTTCAAACTTAGCAAGCGTTTATATGAATTGACTTAACCTTATATATCATATATACTATATACTACATATATTATATATACTTTTATATATCTTTATTCATAATAGTCGTAAAGCTGAAGGCGCGAAAAAAAAAAAATATCTAGATTTTTAATTCATAATTTTTAGATAAATGCAAATTTTACATAAAATCACGCTAAAGTTTCATATTTTTTGTTCATTCCATCCACCATTCTTTTTCATCCATCATACGTACCATCACTCTCTTTATCTCTTCCTTTATACATATATTAGTTGCTGCACTCCCATTAATTCTACATATATATAATATAAATAATATATATAATATATATATATATTCATTTATTTATATTTTATATATATTTCGATATTCTTATCGTTATTTTTTTGACAAAAAATTTTTTTCGAAACAAAAAAGTGCATTTCATCCATTTTAATATATCGTAAAATTGCCACGTTTTTTCATTAAACATTTTCTGCGGCACGACAGAATTACATAAAATCTTCCCAAATTTACCTATTGTAAAACTTTTTGAGAATTTTAATTTCTTTAAAGTATTTTTTTTTTCTCCATAAAGAATTTTTATTATTAATTATGGCTTGGAGAAGCGTTAAAAAATTGGGAAATATCTTTAATGATGCTCGGTCTTCCTCAAAGATCGTTAAATCTCAAAATACTGCCATATCTTCCCGTGACTCTTTAACTAATGATAACAATCCGGTTTCTTCCTCAAATATTCAAGATGCTGCCTATAGTACGCGTTCGAGTTTAACTGATATTCATAGTGAATTACGTGATGCGAGTGAGTTGCTTTATCTTCAGCTGCCCGAAGATGTTAAATTGGTTTTGGATAGAGTTCGGAATTTACAGCGTGCTGAAAATTCTGTCTTATTTTATGATAAAAAATTGCCGAATGGTGAATGTCAGGTATGCTTATTTCATTTCCTCCTTTGCCTCTCACGTGATCTCACGTTCTCTCGTTTGTTAATTACATAGTGTCCGTTCATGACGTTAGAGTCTGCCTTGATGTCTATATTAATATTGGCTCCTACTTTATTGCTGATTAATGCTCCTGGTTCTTCTCAATCAAATTATGATGATGATGATCATGGCTATTATGATGCTGAGGATTATTTATCGTCACTGTCACGTCCTTCCTCTTCGATAATCCAAGAAGAGGCTCTTTCTGTAATACATGAAAATGTGGAATGTCATTATGTTGGTCGTTCCGATCAACCTCCACATTCCCGTCATCATACCCGTCTTTCTCATCATTCTAATTCAACCTTTCATTCTGAGTCTGAGTCATCTGAATCATCCTCGAAGAATTCCTCATTAGTAAAAGTTTTGGGTGCTTCTAGTCTCTTGACTAAGATAGTCCGTTCTATATTATCTCATCATCATGATGTCTTAATGAATTCATTTACTGATTCTACAACCTTGGACAATTTTCATTTGCTATGTGAGCAAGTGTCTAAGGAGGCAAAGGAACTAGCCAAACAGATAAAGAAAATTACTAACCAAGGAAAAACAGATGAGTTGGTGGAATATGGTCAGGTGATACCTTCTTTTTGATTCCTTTTTTTTTGATACTTTCTTTTTGATATTCTTATTTTAATACTCTTTTAATATTCTTATTTTAATACTTTTAATATTCTTATTTCATTTTATTACTTTCTTATTTTAATACACTCTACTTTAATAACTCTCATTTTAAACCCTTATTTTCATTTAATACTAATTTTTATATTTTTTCTCATTTTAATACATTCATCCCTTTTAATATCTCTTTAATATGCTTTTTTAATATACTTTTTGAACACTTTATTTTTGATTTATCTTGAACACTCTTATTATTGATGACTTCTTGTTAGATTGTTTATAATGAATTAGTGTCTCATGCAAATAATTTGGTGGAAGCATTAGACCTGTTTGTAAATTTTGTTCATCTTCATCTTCCACAAAATTATGAAGGGCGTAAGTTTCGTTTAATGTTTCCAATTTCTAAAAAAAATTCATGATGTTTATACTTATAAAAATAGCATCGAAATTGACTTTAACGTCTCCAGTAAATGCACAACCAAGCGACCCCTTGACAACGGGTGAAAAAAAACATAAAAAGTACAATATCGATTCTTTTATTACATGTGATATGCATACTTTTTGGTTATTAATATTCCGCTTAAACATATTTTTATTAGGAAAAAGAATACTTGTGGGTTCTTTATAAATTTTTTTTTTTTGATTATTACTGTATAACTAAATATAATCATGTTACAGTTAAGAAAAAAATATTGCGAAGTCTCGGGACGTTTAGGCGACGTTCAGAAGCGAAGCAATCAATAAATGACTTAAATGTGACGGCTGATAGTTCAGATCATTTAAGTGGACACAGCACTGTGTCATTTGAAAGGGAACAATCTCTTCTATCACATAAATTTAATATTAGCTCGTCAGCTTCTTCTTGGCGATCGGTAAAACAAAGTTTATTTTGATACGTGCGACTATACCTGTTTACTTACGAACAAAACGTTTAACTTATTTAGCAAAATGAAAGTACTGATACCGATTTATCCATTACATCCGCGGTTACTATGCCATTAATGTATACCAAAGAAAGAAAATTCACCTCCTCGGAAACTACTTCTTTACACGAATCTCGTTCTCGCAACCCCATATCTCCACTGTCAAATAACCGTCTTTACCGCAATAATATGGATCTTTTTATTGATACTAAAAATGATCCATCTTTTTTTTATTCTGCTCCAAATACTCCAAATACTCTTAATAGTAATTGTAACATTTCATTGAATCATCGAAATCGCAACAGCTATTTACGTTTTAATAACGAGCCTGTATCACCTGCATTGTCAGACTCAAGTAAAGGCTCTAAATTTAAAGAAATGCTAGACGAATCTTCTTTTAAAACGTCTTTAGGATTTAACATTGATCAAGATACAAAAAAAAATCGTACTAGAACCCAATCATTTATAACTAGATTTATGTCTAATGGTCGCCTATCAAGTCACCCTCCCCTATCACCTATATCAACACATTCTCTCTACGTTCCTTCAAATAAGTCCTCAAAAGATTCTTTATCTATAGGAAATAGACACAAAAGTAAAGAAAATTTGACTGATTCTGAAAGAGAAAATCAACCAAGACCACGTCGTGTTTCAAATCCAAGCACAAAATCTCATTTCTTCAAACATCTTCATCTGCCTTCTCGTAAAGGTAAAGTTTCCGAAAATACCGCCCGAACTACGAGTTATTGGCCGGTAACTGAGGATCCGAACAAAAGTCCCAGTCGTTTTTTCAGAACTCCTTCATTATCCGGTAAACGTCCTAAACTACATAAAATTAGAAGTGATAATGATAATTATATATTTTGAATAAGTTTACATGATGCATCAACTATTTATTATGATATGCCTACTTTTGTTGAGTGGATTTTAGCTTATTTTCATCTAATGCATTATCTTTGAACTTGGTAATCATATCTTCCAGGAAATCACTTGAGCTGATCAAGAACACGTGACTTAGGATAAAACAATCAATAAATTCGCTGTCTGCAAAAAATAAATAAAAATAAATTAATAAATATATAAACTATATAGTCACATACAACAATTAAAGTTTCAAAACTTGAAAGAGTACCTTGTTCATTTTCATCAACCAGCTTGGATAGCAATTGTTCAAGTGTTCCTACAATATGTGTACTAAAAATGTGTTATATATTAGTGTATTGGTGTATTAGGTATTAGATAAGCATTACTTTATTGGTACCAACCTTCCATCAGACACTTTTGTAAGCAAAGCACCATCGCTCTGTGAATCATTAATACTTGATAATTTATTTAATGTTTTGTCGTCATTTGTTTGATCTGATTCCGATCCGTGCTATTAAATGAGATGTTAATTCATGTTAATTTTGATACTTTTTTTTTTCTAATAATATTCAAACTTTTTATAATTAATACGTGCTTACATGAAGGCGTGATAAGATATTGGGCAACTTTAACATACTACTCAGACTGGACTTTTTTTTAATACTTAAACTAGTTGAACTTTTTTAATATCAAATATAGCAAAAAAATTATAATTATACATATGTATATATGTATATCAATTAATTTGGACATGACTAAAAAGTGCCCCATGCACTTTGTGCCCCTTTGATTAACCAATAAAATTGCAAGACCAAGTGTAACATGTAGATCAATGTTGTGTAACAAAAACAATTATACATATCAATTTTGTACAACAAAAACAAAGAATTTTTTAAAAAACCAATCATATCTCAAAATTTTGATTATAAAACCACTTTTGGGGCTCTAACAAAAAAAATTGCAAAATTTTACTATATGCCATGCTTAACCTAACCTCTAAATACTTAATATAATTTTTTATTTTGAGAAATTATTTGTTACACAAAATTGATGATCATGGATAGATTAGTGAAGCAACCAAAATTCAGCAGATCGACCAAAATTTAGGGTCGGAATAGGCCGGAGTTGATAAATTTCTCCCCAAATCAC